ATACTGTATATGGTTAAGTAGATAGTTTTGTTTGACAATACTTTAAATTAAATAAAACTAGCAACACATTATGTTCTCTTTTATTTACTTTAAAGAAGTGAGGAGTAGGGAGATGAAAAATTATGTTTTTTGATACTGAGACTGGACAAGTAGCTCTCAGCAAACTGCCGACTTCAAAAGTAGCTCTTGGTTCAAAAAAGGTTGGGCACCCGTTCTAAACCAAATCAGGTGACAGTAGAGTTGGACCTGGTTGATGTTTGGAGAACTAAACACCCTCAGGATAAACAATATACATGGAAAAAAATGAAGGACGGAGAAGTGAGTGGGGCCAGGCTGGACAGATTTTACATTTCAGATAGCTATAGAAATAGATTATCTAGCTGTTTAATTTCTCCAGTTGGTTTTTCTGATCATCACTTAGTTTATTTTGATTTTATTTTTTTTCAAACAGCATTAAATATAGATCTTATAGATCTTATTGGCATTTTAATACAAAACTACTTAAAGATTTTTTATTTTGTCAAATTTTTTGTAGTTTTTTGCAACTATGGAAAACAAAAAAACTGAGTTTTCACCTTTAACTTAATGGTGGGAGGTTGGAAAGGCTCGGATAAGTTTTTTTGTCAACAATATACAAGTTATTCTCTTTAAGAAGCAGACATGTAACAGAAGCTTGATGTAGACTCTGCTGGATGGTCTTCCTCAGATTACTGCTGCAGATAGGTCACTTCTGGATGCCCCAGTCTCTATGGAAGAACTGACTGCTGCTGTTGGACAAATGATCTCTGGTAAGTGTCCAGGTTTGGACGGTTTACCTACAGACTTTTATAAACATTTTTGAAGTCTGTTGGGAGCAGACTTGTGGGAGGTGCTTCAGGAGTGCACACTAACAGGGATTTTAACGTCGTCCTGTCGACAAGCTGTTCTTTCCCTTCATACAAAGAAAGGAGATTTGACTTTGTTGAAGAACTGGAGGCCTGTTTCTCTCCTTTGTCTGGATTATAAACTATTTTCAAAAGTGCTTTCTAACAGACTGAAGTACGTTCTTGAAATTATTATACATAAGGATCAATCTTATTGTGTACCTGACAGATCCATTAAGGACAATCTTTTTCTTTTAAAAGACTTGTTTGATATTTGTAAACTGTATGAAATTGATGTTTATTATTTCTTTAGATCAGGAAAAAGCCTTTGATAGAGTTGATCAATTTTTTCTTTCTTCTACATTAAGAGCGTTTGTATTGGGTGAAAGTTTTATTTCTTTATTGAGTCTGTTATATAATGAAGTGTCTTGTTTTGTTAAAGTTGGGGGTGGGTTAAGTTGTCCTGTCAAAGTTCAAAGAGACATTCGACAAGGGTGTCCCATATCTGGTCAGTTATATTCTATTGTAGTTGAACCTCTTTTACACAAAGTACGTTCTATTCTTAATGGCCTTGTTCTTCCAGGTTTACCTGATAACAGTTTAATTGTTTCTGCTTACGCGGATGATAAAAACATTTTTATTAAAAACCAGAAGGATATTATGGGTCTTCACCATTGTTTAGAGCTTTATGAGAAAGCTTCCTCAGCTAAAGTAAAGGGGGAAAAAGTTCTGCTTTAAAAATTGGATCTTGGAAAAATAATAATCTTCCTACATTACCAGGCAAATTTCATTGGGCTGGACAGGGTCTAAAATTCTTGGGTGTTTTTTTGGGGGGGGGGTACAGATGCTGTTTTGGATAAAAATTGGGAGGGAGTCACGGAGAGAGTGTGTGCCAGATTATCTAAATGGAAATGGTTACTATCATAGCTCTCTTATAGGGGAAGAGTGTTGGTGATTAATAACTTGGTTGCTTCGATCTTTTTGCATAAACTGACTGTGCTAACGCCACCAGCCTTGCTCATACAACATCTCCAGAAGACTCTAGTGGATTTTTCTGGTCTGGAGGTCACTGGGTGAAAGCTGCAGCCTTGTACCTACCTGTGKAGGAAGGAGGGCAAGGACTGATTGACATCATGTCACGGATTACGACGTGTAGACTTCAAACACTACAGAAACTGCTTTATGGTTTGGGTCTACCATGGTTGGGCACGGCACGTCTTCTGCTAAGAAAAGTAGGATGTATCAGATACGAAAAACATCTGTTTTTGCTGAGGCAAGGATCGTTGGATTTGACTGGTCTCACTCCTTTCCACCAATCTGTGCTAAATGCCTGGACAGTTTTCACCTTTGAGAGAGAGACTTCAACACCAGGGATGTGGGTCTTTGAGGAACCTCTGTTTAAAAAGTTTTATCTTGTCACAACTCCTCTCATCTGGTACGCTTAGATCTAAGATGAGAGAAGCAGGCTGTGTGAAGCTGGGTCACCTGCTGAAGATGTCTGTGACCAGTCTAATGGAAAGTCTACACGTACAATCTAACAGGCTCGTGTTAAGACTGAAAGAAAAAACCTGTGCCTCTTTGCCAGTTTCTATTAGAGCGTTTGCAGCAAACAGTACTCTGTCTGACCAATGGGATGATGATTATGAGTGCAGTATATGTTTCTTTCCCTGACTTTCTCTCCTGCAGTGGATCAGCGGCAGGATGAGCCAGAATAGTTGCTGACTCTCCAAGACACACCTTTGGGTCGTTTTGAAAGTTTGGATAGGAAAGTTTTGTGTAATGTCTGTGTGAAGGTGCTGAATTTATGCTCTCTGGCAGTTGTTAAGTTGTCAAAGTGGCTCTGGGTTTTTGACTCCRCCTCCACTCCGAGAGGCTGTTGGAGGTCCCTGTATAAGTCCTCTATTGAGAAGCGAGTGGGTGACCTCCAGTGGAGGATTGTGCATGGGGCCATAGCCATGAACAGGTATCTGGCACACCTTGATCCTGGCGTTAAAGTTTCCTGCTGTTATTGTTTTAAGGTTGAAACATCATCTCATTTATTTATTGAATGTTTAAGATTGAAACCTCTTTTTGTTCTTTTAAACCATTTATTTGGTGGTTTTGGTGAAAAGTTTTCTAAATGTATTTTTATTTATGGTCCAAGGTATTGTGCAAGAAAGAAATCAGCTCACATTCTTTTGAATTTTATTTCTGGGACTGCAAAACTGGCAATATGGTTATTGAGAATAAACAAAAAAATGGGACATCAAGCAGATGACGTATTCTATTTCAGAGACTGGTAATTTCTCGAATTCATGTGGAGTTTGAGTTTTTTTAATTGACAAGGAATGTTGAAGTCTTTGTAAGTAAGTGGGGGATTAATGTTTTGTGTTCATTGAATGAGACTTCTTTAGTTTTTCTTTTCATTTTTTAGGTTAATGTTTGTTTCTGTTTGACTTTAGGAGTGTAAAAGAAAGGCTGAGAGACTGGGATGAGCTGCTGCTGAATTMTTGCGAGAAGGTGTGCGTAAGTATGGTGAAGTGCTGGTAAGCGCAATTTTTTTCTTTCTCCCAGATAGAACTCCGTATTTATAAAAACAGACAAAAAACTTAATTAAAGGTCATAAAATATTAGTAGATATCATTCTAAACTGGAAGCGTAAACTTTAGAAAGTTTGGAGCATTTCGTGGATGAGTGTTTTGATGTCTTTGTAATGGGTAAATCAAAACAAACTTCTGCTACTTCTGCATCTACACCGAAGCGTACCCGCTCGGAGTGCTCGGCGAACTCCTCGACAACATCTCCGGATAAAAGCATCACCGGAATTCTGGAGTCTATAGACTTGAGGCTAACTAGCCTGGATGGCAGACTCRCCTTGGTCGAGGTCCTCCATAAGGAGTTCCAGAGCCTGAAGCTTTCGCTAGAGTTTAGTCAGAAACAGGTAGAGTCGCTTGYYTCAGAAAACCATCAGCTGAGGGAAACCATGAAGCAATTCACCGAGAGTATGACGCTGATGTCCAGAGATAACAAAAAAATCAAGGAATCCATTCCGGATATCCAAGCTCAGAGCATGTGGGACAACCTTGTATTTTTCCTTTATTCCTGAGCAGGYAGGGGAAGATGCAGAGGCCTCAGTTCGTCATTTCATCCAGCATCAACTGAAGCTATCAAGTACATAGTGGATAAAATCAAGTTCCACCGGGTTCATCGGCTTGGAGGTAAGAAACCCGACAGCAAACACCCTCGGCCAATTATTGCCAAATTTGAGCAGTATAAGCAGAAAGTGCAGGTTAAAAGTCGAGGCAGGGAGCTGCGAGGAACAAACCTCAGTGTTAATGACCAATTTCCAAAACAAATCTTGGATAGGAGGCGCGTACTGTTCCCTATCAGAAAGAAAAACATTAGTGAGGGCAGGAGAGCTACGTTAACTGTAGATAAACTGTACGTTAATGGTCAGCTGTTCAGAGACCCAGCATTCACTCCATGGCTCTATTAAGTACATCAAGATTGGTGAAATTTTCAATTATTAATCTTATTTACCAGTTATAATTATATGKAAAAGTACAGCTCGGTTGGTGTGTTACACCAACCGAGCTGGTTGGTGTGGAGCACGGTGTATTGGCACTTTTCTTGAGGAAGGGAGGTTTCTTTTTTGTTTTTATTTTTCTTTCTTCTTTTTATTTGTCCATCACTACATCCCTTTATTCCTTTCTTCTCTTTCTCTGTACATTGCAACAATGGTTTGCACACGGGCCCATACACACCCATGCATCAGGTGTACACATACTTCTTAAGGAGACAATATATATTTAAAATTTTAAATATTCAGCAGTCACAGATTATGATATTTCCTGGGTCTTTTCGTTTCTGTGTTAAAGGGTGCAGTTTAACTTTGCTTTCACTAGTACAAGGATGGGCACATTAAGATTTACCACGTGGAATGTGAACGGGGCCAGTACCCAGAGGAAAATGTACAGAATCTTTAGTCAGCTTAAAAGATTAAGACAGATGTTGTCTTCTTACAAGAGATTCATAAATCAGCTTCATCTGTGAATGATCTTAAATCTTCTGAGTTCTCTAATGTATTCTCAGCCTGCTATAACTCAAGACAAAGGGGGTAGCAATATTAATACATAAAAATATTAACTTCACAGTACTAGACACGGTTATAGACCTAGAGGGTAGATATATTATATTAAAATTATCTATACTTGACCAAAAACTTTGTTTTGCTAGTGTATACGGTCCAAATGTTGATGATGCCTCTTTTTTTTCATGGTTTCTTTTCTGAACTATCAAATCACCTCGACTGCTCACTGCTTCTAGGAGGTGACCTCAACTTTGGACTAGATGAAAAAAATAGACAGGCTGAATGCAGAAGGAACTCAGTGCAGTTGGCAGTCGATAAATATTGTTAAACAGTACATGAGTGATTATGGACTTTGCGATGCATGGCGTTCTCTTCACCCTAACAGCAAGGAATATACCTTCCTCTCACATGTTCATTACTCTCTCTCATCTAGATTATTTTTTAGTCTGTAATTCATTACTAACCAACATTTCGAACAGTGAAATTTACCCTATTGCTGTTAGTGATCACACACCARTTTCTTTAACTCTAGTTAATAGGAAAGAAATACCAAAAAATATAAACTGGAGATTAAATACATCACTGCTTGAGGATGAACAGTTTATACAATACTTTAAAAAAGAATGGTCATCATATTTAGAGTATAATGATGTACCAGGTAC